AAACCCCGGTGAATAATGTCTATAAAATTATCAAAATACCGAATATTGAGAGGTATCGTAATATGGAGGCTATATGAATATGTGGGCCTGCATACGCAATGGGCGTGTTATAGACTGTAGTATCCATTACGAATTCTAAATGCGAAACCATCAACTTTTTATCAAATGATTTTACTGGCAAAAATAGAACTGGACCAAATATTCAATCCCTATTCTTTTATTTATAATAAATAAAGGCTCGGCCGAACTTAAGGTTTTTTAACTTGTTGGTATTGAAAATGGACCAAATAGGGCCACATTTTGGTATAACCCATATATGCCATATATGTATTTTGAAGTTGCACTTCATCGCCAGTTTGCATTTTCAGTGAGCAAAAAATATATTTGCATAGTGGAAAATATGGCATAGGCCTCATGTAACATGTTCTACATTTTGATGGTTTTGGAATTTTGATAATTTAAGCCAGATTTTCAACGGAATTTTTGGAAATTTTGTATAGCAAGTTCCAAATTTAATGTTCAAAAATCTTGGAAAAATCGCCGATCTTTTCAAGGACTTCATGCAATATAATAACATATTTTGTATGAAATGATTTAAGGACACAGAGCCATGTTATTCACGAACATTCTTCGCTATAAAAATACTTTTATTATACCCTACAACACTATATGTTGGGGGTATTATAAGTTTGTTGTTGGGCCAAAAATTATGTAACACCTCAAAGTATTGGTTTCCCACATAGGAAAGTACATATGGATCTTCCTATCTCGCCGAGCTGAGTCGATCTAGCTATGTATGTACGTCCGTCCGTCTATCCGTCTGTCCATGTTAATTTGTAATCACTCTACAGGTCGCAATTATGGCCCGATCTTCACGAAATTTAGAATGAAGATGGGGCTAGGGCCAAAATAGAACCCTATTGCTTTTGGAAATTTCTTGGACAGAAGTCTTCCAATTTTGATGGTCATCGGATAATATTCACTGGGAGAAATAGACCATAAAATTTTTTGTCAAATTTTCCATTGAACCACGAATATTTTTAACCCCGGCGAAATCACAAATAGACGAAAAGTACAATTCTGATCGTTATGTAGATGCCGATAGAAAAAAATATTGGATATATATAGCGAATAAAGAATAATATCTAAAAAATCGCATAGAAAGATGCCTATAACGATGTTAATATGGATTTCGTAGTATTTTTATCGCATGCGATTTTTTCAGTTTGAATTATAATATTCATAAGAATAAGAAGGGCCAGGCCTATTGCATTTAAAGATGCCCGCAATATATTTAGGGGTTGAAATGGACAAACAAAAAAATGTTCCTGATTTTGCAGCCGTTATAAAGGTCACAGATAAAAACAAAAGGACACGAAATCTCGCACGGAGTTAGAGCTTAGTAGAACGGGTAGTATGGACCACTTTTGTGTGAAAAAAATACCAACATTTCCATGTTACAGAAACGCTGAAAATAACTTAAAAAATACAAAAAAAAACCGACTTCTGACTTTTTTATGCTGATTTCGTTGAAGAATATAGCCAAATATCGTAGACAAACAAATCATATAGATGAGTCTAAATTTAGAGCTACAGAGGAATCTCTTGCTTTTGGAGATGATCGCAAAATATTTAGGGGTTCAAATGAACCAAAAACAGAAAAAATTTCCTGATCACACAATTAAAGCCTGAGAAGAGAGTAAATGACAGGGAAGAATTCTAGCATTTTGAATGACCATTGGATTATATTTAGCTGTAAAGTGGACCACAACAACTAACAACACGACGGAGTGCGTGTATAGTGGGCTAATGTCCCTGGTTAAAAAGCTAAGGGTTATATCTGTTCAATTTTCTGTGACATAATTTCAAAAGCGGAATCTTCCAAAGTGGATCTGAACATAGGAGGACTTCTAACGTATTGTGTTGTAGGGTATCACATGGTCGGCCCCGTACGGCTATAGCCTTTGCTTACTTGTAATACCCTACACTACATGGTAAGAGTATTATGTCTTTGTGCATTTGTTTGTATTGTGGAGAAGGAAGCGAGATAGACCCATAGTTACTTTTGAGGATCTCCATAGAATCACTGAGTTGATTTATTCAGTCCGTCTGTCCGTCCGACCGTCCGTCTGACCGTCCGTCTGTCCATATATTTTGTAAACAAAGTACAGTTCGCATTTATTGCCCTATCCAGATGAAATTTTGCACAAATCATTTGTTTGAGGTTTGAGATAATCGGTAAAAATTTAGATATAGCTCCCATATATATCTTCGTCCGATTTGCTTTTATTGTGCACCAAACGTGTAATATCAATCCGAATGGAATGGAATTTTGCACGTACGATCAGATTGGACCTGAAAATAAGTATGCCAAATTTGATCGAAATTGGTTCAGATATAACTATAGCTCCCATATATATTGTTCATCCGATTTGTTATTTTAGTCCTCCACAGCCGTAATATGCACTCTGTAACAACGATATTCAAGGAAATATATCAAATACAGCTCAGAAATATCTTTGCCAAATTTTATCAAGATCGGTTCATTGGATATAGCTCCCATATATAAAACTTCGTCCGATTTACCTTTGATTATGCACCAAATGTCTAATATCTGCCCAAATGGGATGAAATTTGGCATTTACGACCGAATTGAGTCTAGAAGCTAGTATGTCAAATTTGGTGAAGATCGGTTCAGATATAGCTATAGCTCCCATATATACTGTTTATCCGATTTGTTATTTTTGTCCTCCGCAGCCGTAATATGCACTCCGTAACAACGATATTCAAGGAAATATATCAAATACAGCAGAAATATATCAAATACAGCACATTGGTTCCGATTTGGATATAGCTCCCATATATATCAAATAGGCAATACAAGTCCGAATCTAAAAGATACAAATGCTTCAGCATATTTAGTCTTGTGAAATTACAGTTATAATCATAGCGTGTATGATTGAATTCTCCCATAAAAACTTTAAATTGTTATGTGTAGCTCCACTAAATTAGCAAATTCGGGTTGGGTGTCATAAAGTCGGCCCCGCCCGACTTAAAAACTTTCTTTACTGGTTTTTAACATTTTTTTTTTCATTTTTTAGATCTAATTTATTTATTTATATTTATAAAAAAAAAACATTTTATAAAAAACATTTTTAAGATTTCCTCTTCTAAAATTGCGGATTTCTTCAAGACCTTTTTTGAAATTCTTTAAATGTTTCATGCTAAAAAACAACTCATTTTGTTAGAGTCATTTTTTTTTGAACATTATTCGCTATAAAGAGATATTGTCATGATAGAATTACAAGGTAACCCTTTCAGGCCAGCTGTAGTCAACTTGATATGTCAAACAAGTTGTTGTAATTCGAATTCGCCGTAGAAATACATAACAGAAATTCAAACATCATAGAGAAAAAAAAATAAACACAATAATATAAAAATTAAATTTTGTGATAAAGTCCAAATAAAAGAACAGAATATGAGGTGCTGTACTGTTTGTAAAAGAAAAGATAGTGAACGACAAGCAACATTGTGGGATCACTTTAAACCACAACCACAAAATTTATTCCCATCACTTCAACCCAAAGTATATAACGGGGAAAAGTTGTAGAATGCGATTATTACAATGCGCTGTACCAGACATGCATCAATTCTATTCTGGTGGTTCACAAAATAAATTTCCAGGGTACATATTTGCCAGAAGTAGGAATGTAAATTAAATATATAAAATACGGTTTATATATAGCGAAGCCTAATTCGAAGAAGTCGGGAGGATGCTTCAGTATGAGGCTGGAATAGATAGAAATGACAATGAAGTTGTTATGCCCTACCATGTCACAGAACCATTGATGAAAGAAGCCGAAACACAAACAGAGTAAGCATTGTTTGGACATCTCCACACACACACACTCATTAGATCCTCCATGGACACAGACATTCCTTTTCCAAAATGTTCATTACAGGTACATGTACCTCCTGATAATCCGTATTTCGAAGGTTTCATTTTTCAAGCGGATTGATTGCAATTTGGCCGATTTAATGTATATTGGTTACGATCATAATTCCCAAATGTCCTGAATCGGATTTCGTCGAAAGAGGCGTTATTTCGATCAGATGCATTTTGGTCATATCAAATTATTCAAACCTTCTGTAGCGATATGATTGATGGTATAATACGTATACACTTCCAGTTATTGTAGTATTTTCAGTTTATATGTTAAAAAATATACTAATCTCAACTAATATATACACATGAATAAACCAAAACAAACTCATTCAATGTTTCAGAATGAAGAGTTCTGATTGGTGCAAGCCAATTTGCCCCAAATTTTATACTTCAAATAAATTCGCCCTGATTAAAACTTTGACATATCAAGTTTCTAAAAAAGTTGCTTTGTTGTAATTTTCGCCTATGTTGTTACCTGTTATTTCTACCATGGATATTGTTTAATATTTTTTATCTATATGACACAGGTTTATTTTAGTACTAGAATGTCTGGCGTCCGATGTTCATTTTAATTTAATACTTACTTTTGACTGACCTATCCATTTCCAATCCATTTTAGTGCAAATAGTCAACAATTTTAATATCTATATCAAATTAATTTAAGAAAATGCAGATAATATAAATTTCATAACTTTTGGAATATTTCTCTAGTCAAAACCTTAGGGTTTGAAATCTTGGGGAATATCATCAACCTCATCAACCTGTTTACTGGATTTTGCTATTTTTTGGTTTTTGCTTTTTTATAATTAAGGGCCATAAATAAAACACACAAGGATTTTTGGTTTTTGTGGTTTGTCTTTTTTTGTTTTTGTTTTTAATAGAGGGGAGTTGTTCATCAAGTAGAAGTCTCGCTCCACACACTATGTACTTCATCAGACAAAGTATTTTGTTTATTTATTTTTAGTTTTTTTTTTTTAGATTTTCAAATATTGTTAGAATTTTTGTTCTTAATTCATTTCAAGAGTTGTTGTTGTTCATTTTCTTGTTATATTGATTTTTGGTTTTTGTTTTTGAGATTCAGGGGAAATTTGTGAGAATTTCCCTTCTTTTTTAGGTTGTTTGGATTGACTTAATTTATTTAATGTTTTATATTTTGTTTCACGCTATATAATTTTAATGTAATATTTAATAATGAATGTTTTTTTGTTGTTCTTCGATTTACTTTTCGAGTATGTAGTTGTTAATGTTAAAAATGTGGGGGATATTTATATATAATTTATCACTTAACTTGCTAAAAAAAATTCTTTAAATTTAAGTTTTGTTATTTTTTCTTTTTTATTTGTTTTTAAAAAAGGTTCAAATTGTAACTCTCTACGTTGATGGTGTTAGAGAGAGAGTTTTTGAGTTTGAAACTTTTTCTTGTAGTGGGCAACTTTTTGAATCATTTAATTTTTAAATTTTTCTAATTAACATTATGTTTGTTAAATATACTTATAACCTTAGCTTATATAGTAAACCTAAATTTGACACATTTATTTTGAAAGTTTTGTTTTTTTTTTTTTTTTAGTTTTTCAAAATTGCAATTAAAACTATTTTATAAACTTAACCTTACATTGTGGTTTTTGGATCATGCAAATGTTATAGTAAATATTGTTTTTTATAAGTTTTTTTTTTTTGTTTGGTAATAGTTTAAAATTGTTTGTTATTTTTTGCTTTCAATGAATTTAACATGAATATTGTTTAGATATTTTTTTGTTATAACAACACCGACTTATAAGATCATAAACTATGTTTTTTTGGTTTTGGTTTCTTTAAGGTTATATATTTGTTTTGAGTTAAATATTTTATTTCAATTTTTAAATTTAACATTCTGTAAGTACTTCATTTTGTTTCACATACAACTAAATTGAGCTCTTTTCTAAGCCTTCATTCAAATTTAATCGAACTGAAATTTTGTTTTCAGTCCGATTATATTTCTCTCGGTTTTAACATTCTTTTGTAAGGTTTCCTTTTGCATTCACATCCAGTTTTTTTTTTTTTAATTTTTATAACATTTCCTTTTTATGTTTATATATTGTGTTTTTTTTTTTTTGTAATTATTCGTTATATTTAGTTTAAATACGTTTTTAAATTTAATTTATGTTAAAAATGTTTTCTTAATTTTTGTGTTTTTATTTAAATGGAAATCAATAACATTTTAGGGATTTTTTACACAAACAACCACAGAAGTGTGAGAAAAAAGGTGTTAGCAATTGCCAACAATCTTGAAAAATTCAATTGGAAACTTTAATTCACAGATTTGTTGGGATATGCCCTAATATCGTCCATTTAATGAACGGACATTGTGGCGTATAAGTATTATTATTTATTGGGTTTATTTATAAAATTACTCATAACTTTTTTGATAATAGGACAATTTAAAATTAAAGAATTTCTATTTTTGAAGAACATCATGGGCTTTAAAATTGTGTTTAAGATGGAGTCCATTAATCCGATATTTTGGTGGGATTAGGCCTTCTGAATATCAAGAAATTAATTGCTAAAAATTTTCCACTTATTTTACATTACCAATAGCGGCTGTTTCCACATATTTTTCAATCTGGAAAAGACTTCCAAGCCCAACAGTTTTAAAAGGCGAATAAAATCCAGAGAAATTTGAATCCTTAAGCTCTTAAAAAATTAAGGATTATATCGTATGATAATTAGATATTGGGATCGCGAAATTAATGGCTTCTAACTTTGGTGATACTAAGTCATTTTACAATTACAATTTTCTATTTGTTAAGGACATAAGAAGGTTTAAAATGTGTTATTGTGGAAGGTTCAAGTCTTGTAATTTTTATCCAAAAATATTTTCAAAAATTCAAATCTCCATACCTATTTTTTATTTTTAAATTGTTAGTCTCATTAAAACCATAAAAGTTAAGTTTTTTTTTTTAATTTTAAATAATGGCTGCTTTGCTGATGTTATTAGGAATGAAAAACCTCTTGAGTTTCTTGTGAAATATCAGCAAAATTCGCTTATTTCAATTGTGGACACCATTGCGTATGATTGTTATTAATTTCGGGAAATTGTATTAAATTGACCATAACTTTTTGGAAAATTGATGAATTTATAAAATCGTAATTTCTATTTTTAGAGGACAGTCCACACTACTAGAAACAAGATAATATGGAAAGTCGTCTTTTGAGTTTTTTTATTAAATAGGCCCATGGAAAGGAACTTCCAATTTTTTGAGTAAAATTAAATTCCTTTCTCTGGAGCCTATATATAACAGATACATTTACATCAACAATTTCTTGTCGGCTGTACTCTGTTGTTGCTACTGAAATGGAAAACCAAGATTCGGTTCCTTGACAGTAACCTCGAAATTCACAAATTTAAATTGTGGCCATCATGGCGTATGATTGCTATTAATTATGTGAAATTTTAGTAAATTGACCATAACTTTGCCAAAACTGTGTGGATTGTAAAAATTCAAAATACTGTTTTTGGGAGACAGTGCATCCTATTCAAATTTACTATAATACGAGAGACTTCTTGGGAAACTTTGTTCAAGAAGGCTCTTGAAAAAAAATGTTGTATTTTCTTAAATTGCTTTCCAGAATCTTACAAACAGGAGGACTTCTCAGATTACCAATTAAAGTGGTTTTTTGAGATCCTTCGCTATTGTTGTGAAAGAAATAAAATAATTTTTTCTTTAGTCTTAGCCCCAAAAATCATTTATTTTGGTTGTGGACACTATGGCGTATAATTATTATTAATTTTGGCAAAATTTAATAAATTGCCCTTAAATTTGTTAAAATTTAGTTGAATTTAAAAATTCAAATTACTATTTTTAGAGAATACTTTCCACCATTCAAATTTGTGAAAAGCTTGGAAAAGTTCTTAAGAAATTGATAACAAATAGGCCCTTGAAAAATTAATTTGACAATTTTTTCTTCCTTTTGGGTCCTTAAAGAACAAATATGGCAATTATTGGTACACCATTTATATTTAGCTTTTATTTCCATGTTCTCACCCGTCCTCTGATTGTCTTATGTAAAAAATCCCTTTTCATGTTGTCTCTTAATCGAAATGAAAAAATCACCGTGTATGCCTTTTGTTGGATTTGGTTTGCAAAATGGTATCGTATTTCTGTTATCTTAAAATCTATAATAATGTTAATATATATTTGCTGTTGTCATAATATATTATTTATGCATATCATTATTATTATATCCGTATATATGTTTTGTTTATATCTTAAGTATTTCCTCTATTAATTTTGTTTTTATTTAATAATTAAATGGAAAGCTTGTTATTTAACTCTGGCCTTAACCATTACACTTTAATGTCATACCATTTGTGTGTAATTTTTTGGTTTCCGGTTTCTGTTTTGATTCCGCACAGGTTATACAATCACCATAATTTCTTCGGTTTCGTTTTATTTTTGATTAACATTTCCCATTGATTTCCATTTTCATTATCTGTTTTAAAATTTGTTATATAACCTTCATATGCATAACAATTTTGTTTACTTTGTTTTTGAACTTACCTTTAAAAATTTCCAGTTTTAACAAACTTTAAAATTGTTAGTTTATTTTTGCTTTATATATTTCGTTTAACTGTTGTTGTTGTCGTAATTTAACCACTTTTTTAATACCATTTATGTGTTTTTATTAGTTGTAGTTTTGTTACTTTGTTATTGATGTTGTTAACTGATTTTTTCCTCTCAGTGTTGATTTGCTTGAGTTGGTTTTTTGATTTCCTTTTTCTATTTGGTTTCCTTCTCTTTGCCAGCAAAATAATATTTTGGTTTCCAAAAACATGGTTCACCTTCTTCCGATGTACCCAATAATTTATGGAAAAATTAAATCCATTCACATTGGCGTATGATTATTATTAATTTAGACATTGGGGCGCACAATTGTTATTCATACTTTTTAAATTGTCCATAACTTTTTGTAAGTTAGGCCGATTTGAAAAATTTAAATTACTATTTTTAGAGAACAGATCACACTATTCAAATAAGTTTAAAGATGTAAATATATATTGGGGAAGAGTATGATTATTATTGATTTTGAAATTGCGTACATGGTGGCGTATGATTGTTATTAATTTGAGGGAATTTTTCAAATTGTCCATAACTTTTCGGAAACTTGTCCAATTTGAAAAATTCAAATTACTATTTTTAGAGGACACACCACACTATTGAAATTTAGTGAATATTGAAATCTTCTTAATGGAATGAATTTGAAATAGGTCCGTAGATTTCAAAACATATTTTTCTGAAAAAAATAACTTTCAACTTTGACCCTCTAACGAAATATTTTACTTGTCTTGTTGATGATTTGAGTACAGGTTCAACATCTTTACAGAGAATGCAGTTCCGAGAAGTCGTTCATTAATAAAATTAGAGCTCCATGAAGTAAGAAGCAGACAAAGCAGCTACAGAATCATCAAATTCGAAAAAGAGGTTGGGATGGTAAGCCGAAAAAGAGGAATTCAAGGAGAATGCTGGCCATACCTCTAACTTCCCCTACCCCTCCTCACCCCAATAGCAAAAAAAGTTTACTCTTCAAAACTCGCTTCTGCCGAACTTCCCAAGGGCCCGCAGAAAACTATAGAAGAGTATAGCAAAACCTTCTAGAAGGAGAGGATCCTATAGATATAAAACGAACTGTAGTTTCAAAGGGGACTCTCTGAAATGGAGGTCCTCTAGAAGGAGGTTGACGCCTTAGTCTTTCTCCCTGCGGTTATTGAATTGAAGTTTGCGAGGGAAAGGGGTACAAGAGCTGCGTTTGTCGTGCGAGAATGGAGCAATAACGGACTCTTTAATCGTCTTGTTGAAAACAGACCTCAGCTGTGAACTGGTATAGGAGCTCTTCTTTGGCTTTGTCCTTAGCCTGAGGATAGCAAGCCTAAAGCTAAGAGATTATTCAGATATAGCGTATGTAGACCCTATCGATAGTTATGGACAGTTCTTCAATAGATGTCGACATATCTCCACGAATTACGTTTGTGAGAAAAATTACAAACCTTCCGTAGCACCATTTGCCTATTGGAGCTATAGTTAGCAAGAAAAATTTGGGATCAACATCGAAAAGAAGGCATCCCATAGACGATTAAAAGAATGCAAGGTCAAAGGTCTCCATACGGTAGAGAGTCTAATGGAAGCTGTGGATAGCTCTTCAATAGCTCGTCTAGAGTTAGTTGATATTTCTTCCCTGAAAGAACGTATATCATTGACAAGATGTCAAATTAAGGATGAAAATGCGACATTCCTCAACCTAGGCTGCTGTCTTCATGAAAGGAGAGTATTTGTGAGCATTTAACTGTCACTGCTTGTAAAGAAATGGATATCCTTTCTTAGCGAAGAAGAGGTTTAATTTCGACGTTTTATTCGAAGTCGATTTTGATGCATGCATTTAGAATACCTGATGAAATTAGACCTCCCAGAAACGAATGCCAGATGTAGAAATTGGTACTACCATGAAAATTGGAGGTCCTTAAGAGCGGAGGTCTTCCAAAAGTTAGTGGATGCCATAATAACTCATTGATAGAATGGCAAAGCCGACCAAAGTTTCCATTCTTGATAGAGGAGGTCATTCTTGAGATTTTAACTTCCAGGGATTGAATATCCTTCATCAGCGACGATTTTTCGAAATTTAATTTTTTTCCACTAATAAACAAACGTTGTTTTTATAAAAACCACAATAAAGGGATAAAGCCTGACCATTTTGCAACAACAAAATACTACGGTATCCCGAACAAACAAGCCACACTGTTCAATTTAATTTTTCCATAAATATAGGGTTAATTTCCACGACGTTTTAATTTCTTTTGATTCCACTTCGTAAGCCATCAACTTAATCCTTGACTCTTAGGTCGTCCTTCTTCTTTGGTTTTTTTCTGCTGTTACTTCATTTCGTAGATACATGTTGGTTTCATTTTACGTTTGTATTACCTTATGACTTAACGTTTTGTCCAAGGCCATTCGCAGCCTTTTAGCTTCCTTAGTAATTATCCATTCCTTGGAATTTTCCTTCCATAACTTTCCCTAGATTTTTTTCTCTGTTAATGTTGTGTTATATAATTATTTATTTTATTTAGGCTTGTTGGATCTTATTCCTGTTTGTTGTTATTATTATTTTTATTTTTGAAAATGCTTAAAATAATTGCTTTTGTATTTTTTTTAAATATAATTTGCTACTATTGTTTTATGATTTTATTTTTTTTCAAATGCTACTATTTTCATGTTATTTATTATTATTGTGGTATGTGTTTATTTTAATTTTTAATATTATTTTATTTTGTTTTAAAAATCATATTTAAAAATTATAATTAAGAAATAATTTTTAAAATTGTAATTAAAAATTAAAACTACCGTATTTTTTATGTCATTACTGATAATTAAAAATATATTAATTTTAAATGTATTTTTTTCTTTTAAAAATAAAATTAAATTTTTTTATGCAAGTTGTATTTGTTCTCAAGTGACAGATGTTGTTGTCGTCTTTTTATTTTGTTGGTTGTTTGTTTGCAAATTGTAAGCTTTGTTTTGTTTACCTTTCTTTATCTTGTATTTATTATTTTTTTATATTTGTTTTATTTTATACTTCTACATTTTCGATTTATTTATTTTCTCAACATAAACTAATATTTTTACTTATTTTTAAACCAGAAGGTCAGCGCCTTTTATTTTATAATATATATTTCTGTTTTTCTTTTCTTTGTTTTCATTGAAGTTATATCAGCTTTTGTATTTTTTGTTCTTTAATATAATTTTTTTAAGTCCTTTTTGTTATAGGTTGGTTTTCTTTTCTCTTGGTTGATGTGTATAAAGTTTAGAGCTGATTTTTTTTTTTTAAATTTTTATTAATTTATTTCATATATCTTTGTAAATATATCCATAGTTCATTGTGTTGTTAATAGTATGCTCTTCTAAACTTCTACTAAAAACCAAAATAAAAATATATTTTTTATTTATTTTTTAAGGAAAAAAATTACCAGGATTTTTGTTAAAGGATCTGTAAATTGTTTGTTTTTTTGGGTGGAAAGGATTTTATTTTGTTTGGCAAATAATATTTCTTTTTGGGGTTTATTTGTGGGCTTCTATATATATATTTGTAATATTTTTGTTTGTATTTTCTTTCAATAAATTTCTCTAAATTTTTAATGCTCTACGAATTGTTCATTTAGTTGTTGTTGTTGTTGTTTTTTCATAGCTTAAAATATGTATGTATGTATTGATTGCTACCTTTTGGTTTTCGGTTTGCCTTAAAATTTATATATAATTTATTAAATTAATAAACTTTATTAGTTCATATATCATAATAATAATAATATTTGATGGTCGTTTTAGGCTTTATCCTGTTCCATTGCTGCTTCCTTTTTCTCTTCGTACATTGGTTGTACATCTTGCTTTGGTACATTTGTTTGTTGCTCATCTTTTCTCTGAACTTGAAGCACTTGTCATTCATCTTTGGTAGATATTCCAGTTTGTTGTTGTTGTTTTGCTTAGTTTTGGGTTCAATGGAAACTCTCACAAGTAGATATCCACAAATTTACTCTTAAAGGATTCTTTTTTCTCCCCAAATTCATTTTCAACCAAATATCCTTGTGAGAGTTTCCATTGTAGTTTTAAATACAAAATAATTCTACAAATTAATAAATGTGGCCTACTCAAATTAATAGTTCAAAAAATCTACATAGCTTCAAATTTTATTAATTTTAATTTAGATAAAATATTATAAATTACTCAGAATACAAAATAAAATCCAATATATTAAAAAATATAAAACAGAAAAAGTTTTGAAATTGACAAAATAGTGTTTGTTTAGTATCAAACTCAATAATTTTTGAATCGAATTTAAAACGTTTAAAGCGTTTTCGTGGGCATCTATTGCGTATACTTGATATTATTTGCTGGACATAGTGGCGTATGATTATTTCAATTTTTGGAAAGTTTATATTCAAACTGATTATTTACTTTATGGGATCAGTACCAATTTCCGCAATTTTGAAGATTCGGACACCGAAGCATAGAAGTATTTTTAAAACTCCTTAATTGGCTTGGTAATGTAGTTTTATGTTTCGATGTAGCCACTTCCTCTGTGGACCTGAAGTTCGTATACTTGATTTTAATTTTTTAAAAATCGGGCATATGGTTTATTTTAATTTTTGAGTGATTTCAGTGATATTCAATTAATTTACAAAATTTTTTGATCTCTATTTGAGGCGAAAATGTTTTAGATCTGGTACGAAGGTTTGCCCCTCAAACGTTTTGGTATGGTAATTCTAGGCTTTCTTCCGTGGGCCAGTAGTAAGTATGATTGACATTAATTTTAGCGATTTTAGGCTCTACTAAAGAGAGGATCTCAAAAGTTTCCATAAATGATCGCCAATACCAAAAGATGGCCATTGGCTTGACATTCTCCCGTATTATCAATTCAAAAAACACTTGTCTGCAATTTGCATGAATTGCTAAAGCCTGACAAGAGACTTATGCAAAACAAGTTGAGTGATCTCTAGTCGAAGGCCATGGTCAATATAGATCTTCGATAAAAACCTTAAAGCGAAGAGATTGCAGCGATTTTAGGCTCTACCAAAACGATAACTTCAAAGGTTACCATAAATATGAGATCCAGCACCAAACGATGGCCCAAAATCAAATGAACAAAGTGTTACGCCTGACATTCTCCCTAATTGTCAGTTCAAAATATTCTACATTTTGGGCATGTGTTTGAAATTCCCATGAATTTGAAGCCTGAAAAGAGGACAGAATATTTGCCATCCCAATTGTCAGCGATCTCTATTTGCACGTCATGGTCAAAATAATTATTTAAAGAAGATCATGGAATTCCCAACAACTTTAGCAGGACTCCATATCGAGGACACCTTCAGGAATCAAAATTTTAAACTGGTTATGTGCATTGATATTGACGCTATTTTCAAAAATTATCGTCGAAACTCTCATAAAATCTTGAGCTATTTTAGAGTTATTCCTTATCTGAGAAGTCGATTTTTTCCCAAGGAAATTGGTTGGAATAATACCTTCAATAATCAGCAGAGCTGCGATGACATAGATGTCACTTAAACAAGCCTTAATTCTGATGTATTTTGTGTATTCCTGAAGATATTCGGCTATTTTCAACTTTGGCCATAGGTGCGTATTAGTGTTATTAATTATTGGGTAATTGCAGAGAATTGATCATAATATCCATTCCAATAAATATATTTTCGAACTTGTGGTGGCATTTGAAAGAGTACATTACGGTCTTGCAAGGCTGCTTTAGGACAAGAATCCTTCCTTGCAATTTTCGAACACTAAAAACCAAAGAAATGAAGATATTTTAGTTTTTTGGGCCTAATTGTTTGTAGTGAAGAACATTTGGTTGTTTTTTTCCAAGGAATTTTGGTTCCAAGGTCGATTGTTATCACTTAACCAGTGAGAATTCCATTTTTTTGCATCTTCGTAGATAAGAATGTTATTAATTATTGGGTCATTGCATAGAATTGACCATATCATATATTCTAAGACACATATTTTCAAACTTAGGATGGGATTTTATAGAGAACATGGTATCCCTAAAATGGTGCTTTACGAAAAAATCGCTCCTCATAGTTTTCAAACACCAAATAACAAAAACGAAACTGCATTTTTGATGATCCCTATTGTAATAAGTTGTGTAAACCATTAACAATTCTCACAACCTTTTGCGTCTTCGAGGATATTGGGGTATTTTACTATTTGGTCATCGGTGCGTATGAATATTATTAATTATTGAGTAATTGCAAAGAAGTGACCATATCTTCTATTGGAAAAGACATATTCTCGAAATTCAAATAGACATTGGTAGAGGACAAGGTATCCCTAAAATGTTGCTTTAGGTAAGAAATCGGTCCTCATATATTTCAAACACTAACAGCCAAAGAAAGTGAAGCATTTTTTTTGCTTTTCGGTCGCACTTATTTAAGATGAAGGGATTTGGTTATTTCTCCTAGGAACTTTGTTTCCAAGAATCTTTATGACAATCTCCAGTGCAATTTTGATTATAGTGTTTTTAATTCTCATCGAATTCCCTACATTTTCTTGGATATAGGGGAATTTAAATTTTTGACCACTGGTGCGTATGACCATTATTATTTATTGGGTTACTGCAAAGAATTGACCACAGCTTTTAATGTAATCGACCGATTTCGAAAATTCCAACGGCCTATGAAAAAATACATTATAGCCTTACAATGCACCTTTAGATAATGAATAGTCTATGAATTTTCCAGCAAATAAATGCCTTAGGAATTACAATATTTTTAGCTTCATTGCCTCAAATAGTTTGTGTTGACATAAATTTGGGCGATTCTATAGAGGATTTTGGTTTTGATGACGAATTGAAAACTCATCATTGAAGCTGCTTAAATTCTCAAGTTCTACTGCATTCTTTGTATAAATAAGGTTATTTTTAATTATTGGGTAATTGCAATGAAATGGCCACAGCCTCTGTTGTATTGAACCGATTTTGACCATTTTAATGTCTTTTTAAAGCATACACTCTAGCCTTCTCATACTATAAGAAGCGAGAACTATACCTTGACACCTTACAAACACTAAATGCCAAATGAAATGAAAATAAAAAATTATAAGTTTTATAAATTAAATTTTTTTAAGTTTTTCTTTTGTTTTCATGAGACTCATATTTAGTTAACACTACATAGTAGTTAATTAGTTGTTGTTTTCTTTATAAATAATATTATTTTAAAAATGTAGCATTTGTTTTTTAGTAGCATTTTACTTGATGTTGTTTTTTTGTTAATGGAAAAGTAAAAGTAATAGGGAAATAGCTTGCTTGCTTTCGTTAATTGTTTTTCTTAAGCAAAAAGGAAACCTTTATGGTGAAACAAAATAGATTCGGGAATTAATTGCCTAAACGGATTGTAATTAGCGTTAACATGATTTGTGTTACTAAATTTCGTAAAATTTATTTAGAAAAATATGTATTTTTTTCAAATGTTAAGAAATCGATTTTCTTAGCTTCTTACATTGTTGTCTACTCAATTTTATTTTTTTGGTGTAGTTAATAGAGATCAGGGTGGGCTTTCTGTTCTGCGGTGTTTGTTTCAAATGTGGTATCTAAGTTTCATATTCAATTATGGGCCAAATATTTATTTTTTTTTACTTGTTACTGGTGGTACTAAATGAAATGAGGTGAGTTTGATTTGGTGATGAGGTTGATGATGACAACGCTGATGATGGTCGGTAAGTAAAAGTAAAGGAAATTTAAGAAAATCGTGGATGTTTTGGGTGACAACTATCGAGGGGGTTTTTACGATATGAAATGCTTTGAAGAAGTAGAAGAAGAAAGTAAAACCATAATAAAACAGTTAAGTAAGTCATAAACATGAGAAATAAAAATGCCAAAGATGATGAGTTTTATTGGTTTTGAATTTCATTTTTCCCATTATTCTGGGGAAATTTTATTAGTATTTGTTGTTGTTGATTTGTTGCAAATTTTGATTTGATATATATAATTAAGAAATGTTTGTTTGGTTGTTGTTGTAGTTGTTTAAATTGTTATTCATGTAATATAATATCGATAAAAAGTAGATATAGATACTTAAGAAATAAACTTATGCTTATGGAGAAAAAAAGTTGAGATTGTATGTGTGGAAAATTCAAGTCAAACAGTTTCAAATACTTAACATCATTGATTTTAGGCATATAATGTTCTTCGAGATCCTGGTGTTACCATCTGTACGCCTTCCTTCCATCTTTCTTTCGTTCCTTTGATTCCAGATCCTTCCTCGGCTAGTTCTTCATACGCATAATTACATCGTAATACATTTGCCAAAACTTTGCCTGCAGCCATATCATCAACACCACCAGAGGTTGCAATATCGGCCATTGCAACAATTCACGCTGGGTTCGTCGTTTGAATTTCTTCAAAAACTTATTGGTCCGTGACGGCTCCTCTTGCAGTTCATGATAATTCAAATTATAATTGTAATAATAGTAATTATTATTTTTATAAAAATCTTCCGTGTGATAGAGAAATGGTGTAGAAGATGATGCAGATTCTTCAGGATCTAGACCATTGTAATCATTTTGAGTGAAGATATTCGGCTCAGCATTTGTATCTAGGGAATTGTACAGATATTCTGGCTGATCAACAATGATGGCCTCATTTTCCGTTAAGAGAGAAGTAGATTCTAAGGGTGGTTGTCTTCTATTGTTGTTACTGTTGTTATAATTGCTGATGTTAGGTTTGTTATAATTATTAAGTGGTTGTTGTTGATAGCTATTATATTGTTGTTGTTGATGTTTTATATTAGGGTATTTTTGTGGTTTACGATAATATTACATAATGACACATTTACCCTTTTCGGCCCACGGATTGTTCTTTTTATCCGGGGCATTTATCAATGGATCATTTTTCTCGTTCTCCTCGACAAACGCACGCATTCTGGAAAGAAAAAGATAAAAGGGTTGAAATCAGTCAAATGTCTTCAAAAAAACACTTTAAATTGTGCTAAGATAGCCTGGAATCTGAATTAATTGGATTTTGACCTCTAAGGCGTATGACTGTTATTAATTATTGGGTAAATTCAAAGAATCGAATATATTTTGGTAGAAAATAATGATATTTCAAAAATTTAAATTGTTTTGGTAAGATAACATATTAGTTTTTAAATATTAGGTGAACATATTTAATTTTATTGGATGGATAGTGTACATATTTGTCCCAATCATAAGAAATAAGTGTTTGAAGGAATTAAATAATTGTAGTTTCTCCGACTTAGTTGTATATTATATATAAAATTTGAGTGGGTTTCGAAGGAATTTTAATTGTAGAGGTATTTGGCAAAGGTGAAATGTAAATTTAACAAATGTTGATATAATAAAGAAGATAAAAGACAGTTTTGTATTTGAACCATGGGTGCGTATGATTATTATTAATTGTTTGATGTTTGCAAAGACTGGACCATAACTTTGGCTGTAACCAACCGATTTGCAAAGTTGTAGTAAGCTTTAGAATATCAAGTATTGGCCTTGCAATATTCGATTAGATTTATTTCAGATTATAGATAGGTTATAATATATATCAAGGAATAAATTGCAATCACAGTGAAACAATTTTAGCAATTTGGTCTTATTTTGTGTATAATTTTAATATAATATTTTGATTGCAAGGACATTTGCTTTACAATACAGGGTGAAATTTTCAAAAAAATTATTGCATTGCTAAATATATAGGGTAATTTTCATCTTTGACCACTGGTGCGTATGACTATTTTTAATTATTGGGTATCAACTAAGAAATCGGCATAACTTTGAACATAATGAACCGATTTGGAAAATTTTTGCGAGATTTCAAAGATCGCAAAATTCGTAAGAGATTGTTTTATATTGCAAGAATAAATGTTTCAAACAATTTAAGCAATTTTTGTGTTTAAGTCTTTATTGTATAAAATACGGCAATTTTGGCGTTTTGCCCCAAGATTTAAATTGCAAGCATTTTGAAGATCTATTGCAAATTTCTCTAAAAAATTATTGTCTTACCGAAGATATAAGATTATTTTTGATTTTGATCATTATAATATAAATAGATTATAATATATTACAAGGACTACATTGTAATTACAGTGAAACTATTTTAGTTTTTTGGTCCTTTTTGTGCGATTTTTGTGTGATTTTTATTGCATAGGCAATTTTTTTACAATCCATGGTAAAAATGTCAAAAAATGTATACATTACTGAAGATTAAAGTAATTTTAAATTTGGCAAGAAATTTACCACAAGTTTCAATGTAATACACCGGAGATTTAAATTGCAAACACAAACATGTGAAAAACGAATATAATTTTTCTGAAAACATTACTGAAGATATAAGGTTATTTTGCAACTTGGATCACTGATGCGTATGATTACTACTAATTATTGGGTATTAACAAGGATTTGCCATAGCTTAGATTGCAGTATACCGATTTGGAAATTTCCAACGGGCTTTCGAAGATCGAAAAATTGACTCGCAATATACAATTATATTACGTAGGAATTATAGGGAAATTATATTATATTACAAAGACTAAATTCCAAATAAAATTAAGCAATTTTGGCTTATTGGACTTAATTGCGTAAAAAAGGAAAATTCTTGTTCTTTTTCTATAAGATTTTAAATACAAAGACCATAGTTTGACAATCTGATGTATAATTCAGCGAAACTGTGTTGCATTGCTGAAAAAATAGCTATTTTCGACTTTGGCCACTAGTGCGTATGACTATTATTAATTATTGGGTATTAACAAAGAATTGGCCATAACTTTGGATGTAATAAATTGATTTCGGAAATTGTAAAGGAATTTTAAAGGTCACATAATGTGCTTAAAATATAATATTAGGTTAGAAACGTTTATGACGTATTGAATTAACTAAATATATACAATTAAAAAAGATTTTAAAAATTCTCGTCTTTTGGGTTTGAAAAGAATTAAAAAGTTATATAAAAATCTATCTTTTGAGAGTTACTACATTTATTTTAGCACTCTCGGAATACTCAATCCAGACTATGGAAGATGTATAAGCTTTGTCATTCTGTTTAAAACTCCTCGAAATATTCATGTCAGACGCAACAAATTTTATATATTCTTTATCAGCGTACAGTTCTTAGTCGATCTAGCGTTGACCGTCTGTGAGTCTGTTGTAACCACAAATGTTTCAAATTTCGTATTTAAAGTTCATAATGTGTACCACAACCTAAAACAAAGAATAGCGTTTGCAGGCCCACGTCTTTGCCCCCATATAACTATACCTCTCTACATTCGGTATTTCGATGATATTATGAATGGTTTCAAATTTTGTATTTAAAATTCATAATAGGTACTACAGCTTATAATAAAATGCAGGTCCACGTCTTCGTATAGGTCCCATATAACATCCCTATATTTGGTTTTTTGATGATTTTAGCGATGTTATTTACCGGATTTTTTTAAAATTTCGTAGTTGAAGTTCGTGATGGGTACTGCAATCCATGACAACAAATTGTATATTCAGGTCCATGTCTTCGCATAGCCCTCATATAAGATTTTTTTTTTAAAGATTCGAAAGTTTTCAAATTCTAGGGTATAAAAATTTTACTTGACGTTTTATAGGCTCTGGGGATGCCCCACATCTGTAAGGTTATAGGGATGACCAAAATTGAATTAAAAAATCCAAGTTTTTTTGGATCTAGTGATGCTCAAAAATTTCGTCTGCAAAGTCACGTTTTCTGAGCTCTAGTAATGCTCAACGTTGTATGTTAAAACTCACGTTTTCTGGACTATAGAAATGCTCAAAAAATTAAAAATCCACGTCGTGGGGATCTTGGAACATTCAATTTTTCTTAAACCCAAATTTTCTGTATTCTAAAGGCACCTTTCTAGACCTTTCTTTCAGGGTTCAAGTGATGTTCAAAAATTTATTTAAAAATCCACGTTTCTAGAAACAGGTGATGTTCAAATTTTTCTTTAAAAAACCCCGTTTCTGGGGACTAGTGATGTTCAAATTTTTTTTTTAAAATCCACGTTTCTAGGAACAGGTGGTGTTCAAATTTTTTCTTTGAAAAACCCCGTTTTTTTGGGGACTAGTGATGTTCAAAAATTTTTTTAAAAATCCACGTTTCTAGGAACAGGTGATGTTCAAATTTTTCTTTTCTTTCTGGGGACTAGTGATGTTCAATTTGTTTTAAAAATCCACGTTTCTAGGGACTAGCGATGTTCGAAAATTAATTTAAAAATCCACGTTTCTGGAAACTGGTGAATCTCAAGATTTTCTTTTAAAAATCCACGTTTCTGGGAACTGGTGATGTTCAAAAATTTATTTGAAAATCCACGTTTCTGGGAACTGGTGAAGCTCAAGATTTTCTTTTAAAAATCCACGTTTCTGGGAACTGGTGATGTTCAAAAATTTATTTAAGACTCCACGTTTCTGGGAACTGGTGAAGCTTAAGATTTTCTTTTAAAATTCCACGTTTCTGGGAACTGGTGATGTTCAAAAATTTATTTAAAAATCCACGTTTCTGGGAACTGGTGAAGCTCAAGATTTTCCTTTAAAAATCCACGTTTCTGGGAACTGTGGATGTTCAAAAATTTATTTAAAAATCCACGTTTCTGGGAACTGTGGATGTTCAAAAATTTATTTAAAAATCCACGTTTCTGGGAACTGTGGATGTTCAAAAATTTATTTAAAAATCCACGTTTCTGGGAACTGTGGATGTTCAAAAATTTATTTAAAAATCCACGTTTCTGGGAACTGGTGAAGCTCAAGATTTTCTTTTAAAAATCCACGTTTCTGGGAACTGGTGATGTTCAAAAATTTATTTAAAAATCCACGTTTCTGGGAACTGGTGAAGCTCAAGATTTTCTTTTAAAAATCCACGTTTCTGGGAACTGGTGATGTTCAAAAATTTATTTAAAAATTCACGTTTCTGGGAACTGGTGAAGCTCAAGATTTTCTTTTAAAAATCCACGTTTCTGGGAACTGGTGATGTTCAAAAATTTATTTAAAAATTCACGTTTCTGGGAACTGGTGAAGCTCAAGATTTTCTTTTAAAAATCCACGTTTCTGGGAACTGGTGATGTTCAAAAATTTATTTAAAAATCCACGTTTCTGGGAACTGGTGAAGCTCAAGATTTTCTTTTAAAAATCCACGTTTCTGGGTACTGGTGATGTTCAAAAATTTATTTAAAAATCCACGTATCTGGGAACTGGTGATGTTCAAAAATTTATTTAAAAATCCACGTTTCTGGGTACTGGTGATGTTCAAAATTTTCTTTTAAAAGTCCACTTTTCTGGGAACTGGTTATGTTCAAAATTTTCTTTTAAAAATCCACGTTTTCTGGGGAGTAGTGATGCTCAAAAGTGTCTTTATTGAAGATCCACGCTCAAGGGAAGACTTTTCTAGACTCTTGTGATTCTCAAACATTTATTTTAAAAATCCACATATTCTGGAAATTGGTGATGCTCAAAAGTTTCTGTTAAAAAATCCACGTTTTCGGGGCACTGGGAATGCTAAAATATGTATTTTAAGAGTCCACATTTTTGGGCTACAGAAATGTTCAAAAATGTATTTTAAACATCCACGTTTTCTGGACTCTTGTGATGCTGAAAAATTTATTTAAAAAATCCTCGTTTCCTGGGCTCAAAAATTTCTTCTGGTGTCTGGAATTCTTTTCTGGAGATGACAAAAAAAAAAAAAAAAAAAAAAATTCCATGTTCTTCGCTGTCTCAAAAAATATTTAAAATCCAATCTAATTACTTTTATAATCAAACCTAGTTACTGCAAAAACAAATGTCCAACAAATTCCCAACAACTACAAACATTTTCCGCTAAAGAAATCCCATTCGATAAAACAACATGACAATATGTTGTTAGATCGTCTTGAAACTAAATAGAAATATATTCAGTCAAAACTTTCACAACATGTG